AATGAAGAAAAGCAGCTGGACTGAAATCTCCAGAAGCTCAAACCACCAGGCTACATATCAGGTCACAAAGTTCAAATGTTAAATTTATGCTAATAAGTGGTATAGTTGATACTTTTTTCTCAGGTATGTATAGACCAACCATAGTATAATTTTAAGATTGTAAGCACATTAAAAGTATAATGAATTATATATTTTGGCGTTCTGATATTGTAAAAGCAATAATATTATATTGAGTAATCTGTATGTTTATTATAGTGTTATAATTATTTAAAAGAAATTGCGTATTAAAAGACTGGGAGAAATTCTAAAGTGTCTAATAATAAAAGACTGATTAACATGTTCAGTGTAATAACTGGAGTTATATAAAATAATGTAGATGAATATTTGATGAAATATAAAGTTATTTATTATTAAGTGTAAAAAATGTTACCGAATAATATGAGCAGACTCACTAGAATACGTATACTAAACTGTTGGTATCACTGGTTTACTCTGAATGTGAGATAAATTTTATTGTGAGGCAGGGAATATATTCTTGTTTTTTAAAACTTTGTAAATAAGCGTGTACTGTTTTTGTGACTTGGGGGAAATTTTGTTTTTTAAAAAGCAGAGAGAGAAATATTTGAAAAAATTAAAAGGGATTATTTCAAGCAGTCTTACCAGGTTCAGGAACTTTAGAAGTGAGAATGAAGAATTAACTAACATGAGAAGAACTGAACTGATAACTTCAAAAGTTGGATAATTTTTAAATCCACTTCAGGGGAGCAATTTGCTCTTAAAGCAGTGTTGAAAAGAAATTCAAGAATCATTTCACTGTCATTTCCCCACCCTCTCAGCCCCAAAAACCTCAAAAGGTAAGTATAAGAAAAGTGGGTAGATAGAATAATTTTGAAAGTATACTAATAAACTATGGAAACAAAAACAAATCTGATTTATTTGTAATTATAAATAATAATGCAGTGAAACTAACTGCCAGGTCTTAAAAATAATTTTTTCTACTTAAAAATGAAGTTCGTTTAAATTTTTCCTGGCACAAAAGAAATAACAGGCATACAAACCTTGTAAAGGGCAAAAAACTATTTTAAAAATCACGTATTTATACCACCCAAAGATAACTACTATTACTAGGCTTATATTAATTTTTCCCTTCTAGTTTAGACTATTTATTTCTTAATTCGTTAGTGTGCCATTGACTATAAAGAGCAGCTTTAGAAGAGAAGAGATATACCACAAGGGATGCTTCTGGCTCAGAAATTTTTTTTCTTTATATTTGAGTTTTATCTAAAAAATTAATTTTTTAATCCATTCCATAATGTTGTATTATAAAAATGTACAAAACTAATTGATGACTAATTTTTTCTCAAGATATTTCAGTAAATTTCAGGATACAGGAAGATGCGTCTTGTTTACACTGTGTCTTCCTCTACCACACCTACATGTCCTCCCCAAAGGTACCTTTCCAGAGTGTGAACAGCATTTTGAAGCAAGGAAGATCATTGAAGGGTTTTAAGCAGAATAAGAAAAACAGCTAGTGAAATTGTATTCTGGGCAGATTTGCCGAGAGAGAAATCTAAGACCAACATACTAATTAAATTATGAAGTTTGTTTCTTCCTTTGTGCTTCAGTAATCACATCAAATTTTTCAAGAAGTTGAGCTGTTCTAAAATTGTAGAGTTCACATTTGATATTCAAAAATATTTCTTGTTAATGACAATAACAAATATTTCAATTCAGGCACGTGGTTATGGTTATCAGTCAGAATGTAAATATGACAGTAATGAACCAATAGTAAATGGTCTACTTACTGTAGTGAATATACTTTTCTCTGAATTTGACTCATTAAAATGCAAGAAAAATTGTAGTCTCAACCCATTTTCCCGATGCTAATATTTTATAATTTAACTAAAACACTTAAGAGCAGTAGTAGTTAATTTAGAAAAACAGGTTTTGGAATCTGAAAAACAAATAGGCTAATGGAGGGGGGTGTCTAAAACTCTGATTCTTTATCTAGGGTGAAGGTGCTTGTCACCAAAACAGGCCTATAATACAGATTTCAAGTAAGACTCCTTTTTATTCCACTTTTGTCTGCGCTTAAGTGGATATTGCATCCTTTGAAATAACAGGAAAAAGACCCAAAAGTAAAGCTTCAGGCCTATACAGTTAAGCTATCAGACCATTTTTTTAATCAGCATGTCTTAGATGTGTTCACATACTCCCAAAACTCAAGGAGTTTTGAGCTTTGACAGCTCAATTTTTCTAGAAGTCTGCATAGGTAATAACTCCTGCTCTTCCTAGCTAATTCCTCACAAACTAGACATATTTTGGTGTTCTATAGTTAACAAATGTATTCCTTTACAATTTTCCTGACATGTGCTACTCTAAAATTACTTGTAAGCAGTTTTCTAAAAATTAACTCCTCAATACCAGACAATACTTATTACCCTCCTTGTTTTTAGACAAAAAGTCTGAGGTAATAGTTGCATTAGTAGGATTTTAACATGAAGATTCTAAATACAACACGTGGCATTATGCCAATATTTAGCAAGCGTTAGGTAGATAATATACCCAGAGATACATCATAGGAAGTATGAAACTAGCTGATGAAATCATTCTCAATCCGACCTGCATAAGTATTAGCCATGGAGAGGTCTAAAGTGAAATTTCTTTTTTTGCTAAGTTTACTTTTCATTATATTTAATTTCTTATTGTAGTGTGATAATCTGTTCTGTATGAAATTTTGCTTTATAAATTTTAATAGTAATGCATGTGTACAACTTATAATTTTACAATTCATGGTAACTGATGTTATTTCCAGTTAATAAAATTTTCTTTCACATATAAGAACAGTACTGAAACGAAACTGAAAATATATCTGATACATAGTCAATATCCAATAAATATTTGAAATAATATTGAATGAATTAATAAGTCTGATTTATTTAACATGGTTTTAAAAGGTAAGTCAGGGTTTTTGAAATTCTTGTATCAACACAGTCTTATAATTCTAGACCCTTCTCTGTGTTTTCTAAGTGTTTACTTATAATATTCAACAATTTTATAATTAGTGTTTCTTATTTGAAAACATGGAAGTTCTCGCAGAGATAGTAAAATGAATGTTTTAAATTAAGTAATTCTTTTTATACTGTACTTTTGATTCTGTTTCTCACTCCTATGAAAATTTTGCCTAATATAGACATATCTGAAGAAGTAATTTAAAATTAGGATTCATTCAATAATTCATACGAGAATTAAGAGTAACATGCAAAATAAGTAAATACTTGTAAATTAGAAGTGAAAATGTCCATTATATTAACTTGGTAACTCTAGACATGAGAAGCTATAAGTTATTTTCTACCACTTTGTCCTCATTTTTAAGTCTCAGACAATGAAACTTCCGTCACTTAATGCTCCTTCAGTAGTGTGTGTACAGCTATTCATTCACCCAACAAGTCACTTTGTTCAGAGGCACTCGTCTCTGATACTAGTCTCTTTAATGTCATCAAGATGCAATTTATTAAGGTAACAGTTGAGCATGTATGAGAAGCTAAAGCTTTCCCACTGGGTTAAAAGACCATGAAATGAGGCAGAACAAAAGGTTATGGCATGCTAACCTTGTATATGTAAATACTGTGCTAAAGAAATATATAGGTAACTTGGTAATTTTGCCAGAATGACAATGTAAACAGAAACTTAAACTGTTCTATGCAAGAGAAGTTAAGTGTGATTGTGTTTAAATACTTGAAAATTATCTCTGCATTGGTTGGTTGTGTGACCATAATAAGCAAGTTGCTGTCTCTCTCCAAGCCTCCATTTCTTGGATTATAAGTACACCTACTCCTCTTCTACTATCTTGTTATCCAATATTTTGTATTTATGACAATAATTTAAAAATCTATTTTGCACATTAACATACACCTAGCAGTAATGAATGCCAAAGTGTGAAATGAGAGTGGCGCTGGCTGTGTTAAAGTTATGTGTCAGCTTGACTGGGCCATGATTCTCAGTGGTTTGGCAATTATGTAATAATGTAATTTGGCAGTTACGATGTAGTCAGCCTCCATTTTCACATAATGCCGATTTTTGCATGACTACCTGGTGTTTGGAACCTAACCATGTTGATAAGAGGGGGTGGGTGTAATAGGTCAAATTCGGTCCTGGCAGTCCCAGTTTTTTATTATCCTAGAAGAGAGTCAGCCTCCAATATATCCATTTTGCAAATAATTTGATACACTGACCATCATATTATAAAAACAGGAAAAGATTACTTTTCTTGTATACCAGTGTGGAAACCTCAATAGCAGCTTAGAATTATTGAAATTAGTATGTTTAACTTTGTCATTATAGAAAAAATTCTTGGATTTGTTTCTCCTACTTTTTGTCAGACACCTTGGCTGTATGAGACATGGTTAAAAAAATCCACTGGAACTTTGAGAAAGAGTAAACAAGAAACAACCAGAAGTAACATTTCAAGTTTTATCAGACAGACTTTAAATTAATGGAGCATTCTGAAGTACTGAATGATTTAGTTAACTAAGTCTATAATGATCTTAAAACTTTTTGACTATTTTCTGAAACAATAATTATATTTAAGTATATTTTCTATTAACACTTTTATGAGTAAAGATCTTATTACCAATTCTAATAGAGTATTATGTAGTATAGGTATAGGAGCTTTAAGAATTGTGCTGAAATGTGTTTTAAGCCCTGTAAGCTGGAGGCTGTTTGATTACAAGTTTTCTTAAGATTGACTTTTCTGTTGAAGTAGAGTACATGTGACTAATTCAGGTTAACTAAGGATTCAATCTGAAGAATTCCAGTTTCATTTAAAATTTCACTCTATTCCAAACTAAATATTACATTGTATTCATTTGACAACACATTTGAAAGATAAAACCAAAAAAAAAAAAAAAAATTGCCATTGAGTCCATTCCAATGCATAGCAACCCTATAGGACAGAGTAGAACTACCCAATTGGATTTCCAAGGCTGTAAATCTTAAGCAGACTGGTGCATCTTTCTCCCACAGAGTGGCTGGTGGGTTGAACTGCCAACCTTTTGGTTAGCAGCCAAGCGCTTTAACCACTGCACCACCAGGGCTCTTTATACATACTCCAAAAGATTCAAATTACAGACCTTTTCAGTTATAATCTATTGTCAGTAAAAAAGGCCATGTACTTGTAAATCTCTCCTACTGCCAGAAATAATTTGGGTCAGAGGGGAGTTAACAAGAATGACTACTGACTTACAGCAATGTTCATTGCAGCACTATTCACAATAACCAAAAGATGGAAACAACTAAATGCCCATCAACAGATGAATGGATAAACAAAATGTGGTACATACACACAATGGAACACTAGTCAGCCGGTAGGAAAAATGAAGTTTTGATATATGCTACAATATGGATGGAGCTGGAAGACATTATTCTGATTGAAATAAGTCAATCACAAAAGGGCACAATATTGTATAACCTCATTTACATAAAAAAGGTGAATGTATAGAGAGCAAAGTTTGTTAGTGGTTACCAGGCGTGGGAGGGAGGGGAAAAGGGGGGCTGACAGTGATAGAAAAAATTGCATTGATTAAGGATAGTGTTGCACTTTTTCTCCTGTACAGTAATTTTGTAATTGCTGTCAATAAGTTGTACACCTGTAAAGAACTGAGAAAAGCTATGTGATGTATTTACAACAACGATAAAAAACTCTTGAGGCTGCTTACGTACAACCAAAAACTACATGGGATTTGGTTTCTTGGTTTGGAGGTTTAGGGTCATGGTATCATGGAAAGTCCTAATTAAGTGGCCTATTAACATGTTAAATGCTTCTGTTAAACCTCCTAGTTCATTGTCTTAAAAGCTTGCAAGTGTCCATCAAAGGCACAATAATTCGTTTCCTATTTGACTGGAACAACAGAGAAAAGAGAGTCAGGAATAGGACGAAGATACAGAATATGTGGCTACCTGCCTCCGTGAACAACTACCTCCTTTGCCATGAGACCAGAAGAACTGGATGGTGCCCAGCTACTATCACTGAACATTTTGATCAAAGATTCTGTATGAGAATCCTGATCAAAAAGAGGAAAATGTAGAACAGAGTTTCAAATTCTTGTGGACACTAGACTTTCTGGAGCCATGAGGTTGGATGTACCCCTGAAACTGTCGCCCTGAGATCATCTCTGAACCTTAAACCAAAAAATACCCCCTGAAGTTTTCTTAAAACCAAACAATAGTTTAGTAAAAAATGTCTACCTTGAGCATTATGCTCTTTTAAGAACTATATGGGATCAAACTGACAACAGCAACTCAAAAGACTAGATAGTAACCTTAGAGGGCAGTGAATTTATGTTCATGGGGGAGGAACAACTCAGAAAAGGAGGGTAAAAATGGTTACACAACCTAAAGATGTAATCAATGTCACTAAACGGTACATGTAGAAACTACTGAATTGGTTTATGTTTTGCTGTGTATATTCTCAACAATAAAATTATATAAAAATACTGGTTTTGATCTTGGCTATGTTATATACACATACAGTAGGGCAGTTTTATTTTTAAAAATCTTTTCAAAGTGCATGATAAACAGGTGATAATTTGAGGTTTCAAATTCTGTAAATGACAATACGATTTAGTTCCATCAAAAATAGTTATGCAAATATTTTAAAATGCTTTCTGTCTGCATTTTTCATATACTATTTTTTAATTAAGGGTTGATTTTATGTCCAGTACTTCACTTTACTCTTAAAAAAGATAGTCCCTGCTGGCAAACAACTTCTGGCCTATGGGAATATCAGTCTAATGTACAAGAAACAACTAGGGAATAATGGAATGTAAACCCTGTCTTGACTTGAAGTTCAGTAGAAATTCAAAGGAAATGCGGGTTTCAATTTTCAGAGGAGGTGGAAAATGAGGTGGGTTGAAAGGATGGAAAAGATTGATTAGGTGAAAGGAAGGAATAAGAGACAAGTGCAGAAAAGTACATGAACCAAGGATTGACCAGCTTAGAATCAGTAAAGTGGACACAATAGACTGAAGGCAGACTATTAGGGAATAGGGAGGGAAAGAAGTATAACAATGTTTGAGATTGTTTTCCTTCCTTTACATAAGGTGCCCTCCCTAATTGAAGAAAACGAGTATTCGGATTGTCTGCAACCCTTAGAGAGCCAAGGTGTGATGCTTTGAAGATCAAACCACAACTTGTAAGAAATACTGGAAGGAAATCTAGGCTTAATTAAGACAAATTTACCATAAACCATGAGGGGGTCTCTGGCTCTTAACTCAGCAAATCAGGTGAGAAATCTTAGGAGGGGAAGGTTGCATAGCCAAAATTCTATCAGGGATTGTTTTTGCCCTAGGTAAGATTGACTTTACCACTATGGGAATGGTTGTGAATTAATACCATAGTACTGTTGTTAAACCAAATAAAAATACTCCTCTTCCAAACCTTTTTCTGATTAGCATCCAAGCCTTAGCCCATGTTATTTACCTTTAGAAAGTCCTTCCTTGTCCAAATCTTCCAACTAAGTCTTCCTTATGCATGAAATTTTCCTAGATCACTTTTTCTCCTTGACCAAAAATATCATTTCTCTTTTGTGCTCCCATACCTGAATTACAACAATTAATGCATCCTGCCTTGTTGGCAGGGACTGTCTTAATCTAGCAGAGTGTCTTGAACATAGTGGGAGCACAGCCTAAGTGGTAATTGCTGAAAATCAGCAGTAATAGCTTTATGATAAAATAACATGCTCTGGAAAAGCCGAATACCAGCTAGGTAAGTACAGAAATGCCCAGGCTCTTTCCTGTTAATTTAGGAATTCTCCACCTTTTAGTATTTCACTTATGAGGGCTCCTATCTTATTACCAAAACCAAACCAAACCCATATTGCCATCGAGTCGATTGCATCTCATAGAGACCCTATAAGGACAGAATAGAACTGTCCCATAGGGTTTCCAAGGAGCAGATGGTGGATTCAAACTTCTGACCTTTTGGTTAGCAGGAGAGCTCTTAACGACTGTGCCACCAGGGCTCCCGTATCATACTACCTTATATGCCTCAAGTCTTAACTGTCTTAAACCGTTCTTTTTTCTTTTCCTAAACCAAAGCCATAAACCTGTGGGTAGGTGTATGAATTGTCAGAAGGCCTATGAAATTTTCATACCTATTTTTGAGGTCCATGCGTCATCTAATTTTTTTTTCCCAACCAGAGTTGAAAAGTGTTCAATAGATAATCTATATCTTTAAAAATAGCACTGTTTTTACATGACTTTGAAAAGTGGGTCTGACCCTGTGCTAATCTGTTTCCAAAAGCTTATGTTCATATATTGACTTTGTCTTTTATCCAGGAAGACACTATGTTAGGACAACGTGTACTGACCCTTGTGTTCTTTTGTCTTTTTCTTAATTCTGATGATCTCTAAGCTTTCCAATGAAGTGAAACACTATGAGGCATGTAACTTAACTGTTTTCTGTTGGCCTTTATTTGTATGTCTCTGAGGAGATAGGAGATGGTAATAGAATGGAAGTCCTTACATTAAAAAATGCTTTCCAAGAAACACCATTACGATAATTGCAAAAACAAATGTACTGAGCTGCTGTAAACTTTGAAAGTGACTCTTTAAAGTTAATGGAATGCTTCTGAAGCCCTCTGCTTGCTGGAGCCACATTATTGAGTAAAGTAGGCTTTCTTATATACTTTCTTGGACAATTTTATGAGAGACATCCAAGTCACTTCAAAAAAGCTTTCAGAAATCTAAGAAGGCAAAGAAAATTGTGGATCAAATGTATGGCATTTTTTCACTGCTAGGACATTTGTTTTAAGTCATATTTATAGTGTAAAAAAATATTTTTACGTACTTTTAGAGCTTTTATATAAAATGTATAGGACATTTATACATATATATATGTTTTCAAGAACCTGATGCATAACTTATTTTTTCTAAAGTCTATTGTTGCTGTTGGGTTTTGGTTTGGCTTTGAGAGTGGTTGTATATTTGTTACACTTAACATTTAGCCAAAATCGGGAATTAAACCAGTAATTAAAAATGGTTCCTATGGTGAAGCAGTTTCCCCTCTATATTGATTTGCCCTATGACCAGGTTTCCAGGCATGAATTTTGACACCACTACCGCCCCCCTAAAAAAGGCGAAAGCTGACTATACTACGGGGTACCTAGAACACGTGAAGAAGGGACTGAGACTGGAAGCAGACGAAAGACATTTTCTGTACAGAGCAGAGTACCTGACAACAGCTCACTCTAGTAGAGGGCAATAAAAGCCACATGAGAAGATTCCTTCAGCACAAAACTGTGAGTAACTTTGGGGGTTTACAGGGGGATTCGACAGTTGTCACTACTGACGCAATAAAAATGTCTTCATTTTGTAATTTGTGGCTTGCATGCTTGTAAATTAAGATGCACTGAGTTGTTAAGTACTAGGCCCTCCTGGTTTGTGGATGAGAACTTAAGCCAAAATAAAGTGCTGCGTTCCCCAAAAAAGGAACCTGTGATCTTCGCCGTAAGACCTGAGGCAAAGCTTACATGAATCTGAATGAATAACTAGAGTGGAACCAAGTTATTGGGCTTTTGCCTGGAAACCAATTAGAGAATTTTAGTCTTGATATAACAAGAAATAGGAAGACATCATAGCCTCTTGAAACGAAATGATGAAAGTTGAGTTTTGGACGTTATATGTGGCAATACTATATATAGAAAGATTTTAAAAAATAGTCTTGTGGCAGAGAAAATGGGCATGTGACTATTGTAGTAATCTAGGAATGAAGAAAATCTGAACAGAATACTGGCAATGAGAATGAAGATGAAAGAATAAATTTGAGATACCTCAATGGAAAAAGAATATCATGATAAAACGGGAGTGTTGGATAAAAAAGAGGTGTCAAAAATTATGTTTTTTCTCTGGAAGACAATGATAGTATAACTGAAAGAAAGTGAATGGTTAAGAGAAACTAGTTTGAAAGGGAAATATGTTGTTCAGTCCCATTTTTGTAATATTGCACTTAAGGTGATGTCCAGGCATTCAATTTGAAATGCCTTGATTAAAAGTTGCTGGATATGCGGAACTGTCATTCTATGTAAAAGTCAGGGCTGAAGAGGTAAATTTGGCAGTAATCCACATAAAGCTGATAAGAGAGGACAGCTGACTGAAACTGTTTACCAAGGACAATGGATCCCTTTCTTAAATTATATATGTTGTTGCTGGGTGCCATGGAGTCAATTCTGACTCATAGTGATCCTATAGGACAAAGTAGAACTGCCCCATAAGGTTTCCTAGGCTGTAAATTTTTATGGGAGCAGATCTCCAGGTCTTTCTTCCTCAGAGTGGCTGGTGGGTTCTAACTGCAGACCTTTCAATGAGCTGTCAAGTGCTTTAACCATTGTACCACCAGGGCTCCTTCAAATATATATTATGAATGCATGCGCCCACACAAATTTATGTAAATAAATTATTTGATCAAGTATGTAATCTTAAATAAAACATTTCCATAATTGAATTAAAACTCTCCCTCTTAGAGTGGCACATCTCAAGCTGGTGCCTATAAGAAAATCTCTACACTTGTGTATCAGTTATGAAGGTCAATGTCTGAAATATGTTAATACTTTTGAACCTTACCTTCTCTTCTGTTAACAAAACAAAGATCATTTCCAATATGGAGAACTTAAAATACAAATAATCCAGTCAGTTAAAACTTTGTAAAATTGACATAGCTTTATTTCTAAAATGGAAAGGCAAGTAATTGAATTGGGGGAAATGTGCTGGTCTCCAGTTTCAAGAAACACTACAGCACAAAGACCTGGCCTTCTAGCTGACGAGTTGTAATAATAAACAGAAATTTGAAAACCAGGAAGACAAGTTTTCCAAGAGTGCACTGTGGCATTTCAAAGGAGATTTAAAAAAAATTCAGGAAGATGGCCAAAAATAGGTTTAGATAATTGAGATTCCTTTTTTGAACACTTGTTTTTGATGGAGAAACACACTAAAGAGGAAATGAAGGTTCTATCTTAGGGGTCTGAAATTTTTTTCTCTTTCTCACCGTAAATCAGGTTTGCTTCTGAAGAAAAGTGTTAACCAAAAAAAAATCAAATAGGACGTCAGCACTGCTTAAACGGTAGTCAAGGAGTTGAAAAAGTGACCAAAGGAAAAAAAAAAAAAAAGCAAATATTTTGGTTTTCTAGGAGCTAAGCCTTGTTTAGTAGAATTCCTGCTTAGAAAGTTAACGTATCTGCTGTTTACCTAGTTACTACTTGCCATGAAAAATAGCCCCCCATCATTAGATAGAAATACCAAATTACATCTTTGATTTTTAAATGTTCTACTGTAATGATAAGAGGAGCCTGGTGATGGTACATTGGATGTAGGGCTCAGCTGCTAACCAAAAGATCAGTGGTTAAAACCCACCAGCTGTTCTATAGGAGAAAGATGTGGCAGTCTGTTTCCATAAAGATTACAGTCTTGGAAACCCTATGGAGCAGTTCTTCTCTGTTCTATAGGGTCACTATGAGTCAGAATCGACTCAGTGGCAACAGGTTTGGCTTTGGTTTTGTTGGAATGATAGTAAGGAAACCTGAAATGTTACTCTGCACTTCCAAAATAGCCTTTAAAACCCTCAGTAATATGTCCTCTGGATCTTTTGGACCATTTCACCTCAAACCTCTAGCCATTTGGTGATCCTACAGCTCCAAGTCAGGTTATCCACAACTGGAAGCCATTTCTTTCTGTTTCCAGTCCAGTTACGTCTAACCTACATGCATGGTCTGCTGGCTCCTACTATTTTTTCATAACTTCTAAATTATGGAGGTAAGTCAAGATTTAATATTGATTATAGTTAAACGACATTAATTCTGAACTTGTATTAACATTTCTTTAATTACCAAGCACTGGTATAGCATTACATTAGCAAATTATGTATATCCCAGCTTTGGTTGGGTTACTTTACTCTGATTAAATGTATAATTTTCTGTAACTTTTAACTAGTTAGTATTTCTATATACATCTATATTTTTATATAATTCTTTGTGGAATTATCCATGTAAACTTCTAATAGAAAATGCCATGTTTGTTTTTTCTGTAGTCTTTAACTTGAATCAACTTTTTTAGATTGTATTATATAAAGTATTCTAGTCCATCTTTGAATCTACTATAATTCTTGTTTTTACATGTGCCTGTTTACTGGGCTTTCCAAATTTTTCAGTTCGGTTTAGTTGAGTCTATTGGATGCCCAACACTGTGGGGGGGATATAAAGACCAGTATAAAGCAAATACCAGTCCTCTCTTAAAAGAACTCATGGAACCTCAGACACTGCAACCAGACTTTTTTGGGTTCTCTTATTAAAGGAAGGATGAGACAGACCTCTTCTGTTTGGCTTCCAAATTGGGAACCCAAAGAAATTGAAATTACCAGAAGTGTTGTGAAATGTTGAGAGTAACATGAAATAGAAACACGTGGTATTTGGTGTGTTTTATAGCTTATTGGTAAAAAGCCACTTGTTTTAATGATTTCTGGATTTGAGTGTTGGTATGAAATTTGAAGGTGAAGAAGGTCCTATATGATTAGACAAGTCTTAGGCATAGATAACATTTCAGTTTTGGGAGCAAAATCCTATCTTATTTTGCTGCGTGTTTAGTTGTTTTTTAATTTTTTTATCTTATGCCATGCTTAATACTCATTTCCCATTCACTCATGTAAGGTATTTGCTTTTATCCGTTAAAAGATTTTTTGTGGGTGAATCTATTTTGTTGTTCATATAAATACTAATGCATTTTCTAAGCTTAAAAATTATGAGACGATGACTTTTGTGATGAAATTTATACTTAACTTTTATAGTACCTTTAAGTCTGATAAACTTTAATGTGCCGTTGTAGTGATTCTTCTGTATATGAGATGAATTAATAGGTGTATATGATGATAGAACAAGGTTTCATTAGGGTTGGCTAGGGACAAGCTTCTGCCATTATTCTAATTTAAAATAAAATTCAATTCAGTCAAGAAGTGGTGCTATATGGAAATGTTGAAGTTTGGGGTTTTTTGTTTGTTTTTCCTTAAAAGCAGGCAAGAGTTTTTAATTTGCCCGTGGTACATCTAAATCTGCCTATTTTCTTCAAACTAAATTTTCCTGCCTCCCTTACTAAAACAGGACTCAACTTTATTTGTATGTCTTGGCATCCCAGTTACAGTGTCCACTCCATTTTGGAATGAACACAAGAGCTTACTGAGATGATATTGACAGATGCATCTCTAGATGACATAATCTCTGAAGTATTTACTGAAATAAGAAACTCAACAACCTCCGAAAGCATACTTTCCCTAATGAATAATATGTATTTTCTAAATTGTGGCAATCTTTTTTTTTTTTTTTAATTGTGCTTTTAGTGAAAGTTTACAGTTCAAGTCAGTTTCTCATACAAAAATTTATACATGCATTGCTGTGACCCTAGTTGCTGTCCCTATACTGTGACAGCACACTCTGCTTTCCATCCTGAATTTCCTGTGTCCATTCAACCAGCTCCTGACTCTCTCTGCCTTCTGATCTCACCTCCGGACAGGAGCTGCCCATTTAGTCTCATGTATCTACTTAAGCTAAGAAGCACACTCCTCACGAGTATCACTTTATGTCTCATAGTCCAGTTTAATCTTTGAAGAGTTGGCCTGAGGAATGGTTTCAGCTCTGGGCCAACAGAGAGTCCAGGGGCCGTGTCTTCTGGGGTCCCTC